AGAGCAATTGTCTTGTTGATAGAAAATGTAACACCCAAACTATCAGGTAATTTCCTTTCTAGACTCAAAGTATCATTTATTACAAAAAGGTCCTTACGCCATGCGTACTTGGGGTGTATGTTGGGCGTAAGCCATTTAAAAGCGTGGGTGTACTCATTTGGTACATTGGATGTACTAGGCTAGTGACCAAACCTAAAGTTTTAGGGTTTAAGCCATATATAATGTTATCATCTGCCTTGAGACCCTCCCACCTCCAGCCTCCATCCTCCCAAACGATATTCTGCAAATCATAATCTCAATTTGAGAGTTTTGAGCTATTTTGAGTGTTTTTATATTCATCCTTGATGGAAGGAGTCCATTGGAGAGCGTTTGAGGAGCATCAAGCTTGTGGATCTAGAACTTTTATCTCATTAGCAACCTACAGAAGGTATAAACTTTTGGACTTGAGGAATGCTTCATTAGATCTTGCTAGTTCTTGAGTTTTTGTGCCTTTTGGTACCATAATCTTGGTATATATGAGTATGGCCTACTGTAGACCAAACGACCTTTCCTTTAAGATGTTTTGGAGTGTTTGTGGTCATAAAATCTTTTAAGCTCCATTAGAATAGAAATAGTTTACAAATCGGGTCTTGTAATAGTTTCTCTCTCTAAACTAAATCTCACATCAAATGGGTTCCATTATATGGTTCTTTTATAAATGGGGGTAACTCACTTTCTATTTATATGAATGACTCAACCCATTACACATCACAAGAGGTTAAGCCACATCCAATGATATCTTTTCACCCTAACATTCTCACCCTCAAAGTTAGGATTGGATGTCCCAACTTCAATTTCCAAAAGAGCTCTAGGCGATCAAGACCAACTCCCCCTTGAAGTAACACCGGTCTTCAACTCTGCTTTTAAAAGGAATATCCGAGAAGCTTTGAATACCCATTTCTATATTCTCCCCCTTTTTATAAACAACAAATAATTATTAAACACATAAAGGATGAGAAGCGCTCAACGAATAAACGTGACGAAACTACCCTTCAATGTGTGACAAAAATGCAACCATAAAAATTTTGCACGAAAAAAATCACTCAAAGCCGAGAAAATTTCCAAATTTTGTAAAATTTTATTTGTTCGATGAGATTTGCAAGAATTTCGAAAAATGGGTAAAAACTATCATTTTTGCAAATTTTACAGGGGACCGTTGCGACAGATTAGCTTTAAATGCGAAACTTTATCACAAATAAAAAAAATGGGCATAAAGTGTCAATTTGCGTCAACTACTGGGACCACATTCAAAATATTTTCCCACTTCACAAAAATATATCCCCAATTTGAAATAGGTATATTCTGCCAAAACTCTTAAACTTCAAGGACTCAAAATGAAACACCTTCACTCTTCACAGAAAAGTACCCTAATTCGAAATTGTGTAGAAATAGCCAAAATACTGAAAGATTATGGACTTGAATGTGAATTGTTTTGTTCTTCTCCAATTCGTTTCCAGTACGAGACCAAAGAACGTGACCAGTCGAATTCGATGTCGACTCCAACCAACACCGTCAACACACGATTCGAACAACTCCAAATACATGCATTTGACTTGGACTCAACAACCAACACTTAGTCACAAGTGATTTCAACGCCAAGAAAGTACGTTTGACTCCAAGCAATTGTCATTCGACCATGAACAAAGAACATTACTCGAAATTGAGTTTGATTCCAAGGATCTGAAAAATCGACTCTAATTCTACCTTCCTTATAGACTCAAACGAACACACATACTATAACACCTTGAAACCAGAAGGCTAAATAAGGAAAGAAAATCTCCAAACAAGAAGTCAACTCGTCGACTTAGAACGTTACCACACGTGTTTTTGGAAGACCAACAAGACGAGTTGGAGGGGATCAACTCGACGAGTTGGACTGGGTTTGGGAAACCCTAAATCTGGGATTTTACACCCTGTTTATACATCTTAAACTCTAGGGTTTCCAACCTCCATTTTCCAAACCCTGATTCTAGAAATCCTAATGCTAGTTTGAGTGTTGTGAGTCATCCTTGAGAGAAATCTACTGTGTTGAAGCTTGTGGAAGAAGGAGAGGCTTGAGAATTCAAGAAGGATATTAAAGATCCAACAACTTCGTTCCAACCTCTTCATTTTCTGGTAAGAAAGTCTTAAACTTTCTTAGTAGCTTGTTAGATCTCCTTGTTATCACTATATGGGGGGTTTTTGGTCCAAGAAACATGATTTTCGGGACATGGACGTCCCAAGCGCGTAGACCTTCAGATCTGGAATCATTAAGGGCTGTTATGGCATAAAGGCGTAAACTTTATGCCATTGGAGTCCCCATGCAAGCTTGAAGATGTCATCCTTTCATTTTAAACCCCAAAAGGCCATGCATTGAGGAAAAGGTAGAAGCTTTATGTGTGAAAATGATTCCTAAGGCCTAGATCTCTGTTTCTATTTGTTAGTTTGGAGTATGGATGACTTATGGACCAAGATCTAAGTTCTTGGGAGTTAGGGTTTGAGCCAAACCCATTAAGTAAGAGTATTAATGGGTAAAGTTTGAAACTTTACCATCAAAATGATATTTTCAGTATGTATGTGAAGTATGAAGCTTAGATTTGAAGTGTAGGGGCTTAATCCACTAAGATGGCCCAAACAGACAAAGGATCTCGTCGAGTCCATAGGGGAACTCGATGAGTTGAGTCGATTTGTCACGATGCTGTACCAGGTATAACTCGACGAGTCCGAGGAGGGACTCGATGAGTTGACTCATTTTTTCACGACTACGAGTAGCAACGGAACTCGACGAGTCAGGGGGATGACTCGACGAGTTGAGTCAACTCGGAGTGTTGACTTTGACTCTAACTGGGTGTTTACTTTGACCTGAACTTTGATTTTGACCAAGTTTGACTCGGGAAGGGGGTCTTGAGAAAGGTATGATATCTAAGGGGTTATTAGATTGTGACTAAGTATTATGTTGGTAATGATAGCTTGGGGAGTCGAGAGATCAACAATTTGGGCACCTGCCATCTAACAGCGAGAGGTTTATTCACGAGATTCTACAGTAAACTTGTGAGGTGAGTTTTCTCCTATAAGAATGGGTCGAAGGCACCAATGTCGACCCATTTATGTATGATAGCATGTTCCATATTACGGTCCGATGCCGGGCGGGGCCCAAGGAAGGTTTATATGTATGTTTCTGAACTACGATTCGATATCGGGTGGTACCCGATGAAGGAATGCATGATTAGTTATACTTTTTGTTTTCCTGATACTTCTATGTGCATGGTAGGGAAGTGAGTGTGGGTGGGGTCCCGTATCTCATCACTAGCTGAGTGTGGATGGGGTTCCATATCTCTTTATTAGCATAGTAGGGGCGGGGCACATGATAGGCGGGGCCTTAAGACTAGTAATTATAGTGTTGTGTATGACTTTATGTAATAACATGATTATATGTTATCATTTGTATGTGCATAGCGGGTGGGGCCTAGAGACAGGCGGGGCCTGGTAAAAACAGATTTGTATACCGAGCGGTGCTCGATGCCAGGCGGGGCCTGATGCCGGACACTGTCCGATGCCAGGCAGGGCCTGAGGAAGGGGCGAAGGCCCAGTTTATGTGATTGTGTGTATGGTATGTGGTAGCTTGGGGAGACTCACTAAGCTTCGTGCTTACAATTTTCAGTTTGGTTTCACCATTTCATTTATTGATGGGTATTTTCCGATCACCGGTCTTCTTGTTTCTATGTCTGGTTTTGGATTGTAGAGAGGGTAGGAGGGTTTTTTGATGAGAAAGAGAAAGAGGTAAACCAGTTGTTTGGATTGTTGTAATCGCTTATGTTTATGTGGCAATGGAAACTGGCTACAATGTGTGAAAGAGATTAGATTGCTAGGTTACAAATAATTTGTTCCCTAGTAAAGCCACAAAAACAAAATAAGTTAAGTGATTGTATGAGTAAATCTTAGAAATTTAATAGGATATATATATGTGATTTTCCCATAAAAAAAAATTAACAAACATTTATTAAAATGATTTCATGCACTCTTTACAAAGTTTTTCATTGAACACACAAAAAGATTGAAATCAAACACATGTGAGGACGAAATAATTTTTTAGAGTGCAATTACTGCAATACCTTTTCTATAAACGATGTATCCCATTGATAATTAATGTCACATTGATTATCAACTTTCCAGCCTCTTAATAACAAGGAACGTTCGTCCATATGTAAAGGGCCCTGTTATAGTAACATGTGACCACAACGACAGGACAACCACCAGCATGCAGTTCATGTGTTCCATTGTTCACCATACGTTAATTTGCTTATTACTCAAAAATTTCAGGTGGCCAAAAATGGCAAGTCACATGATATGCATGTCGTTCCTTTTTTACTTCACGTGATGCAACACATGTGGTCCTAAAATTAACATTGTTCCATGTAAATCCTACTCAAATATCTAGATTTGTGTTATATGACTTGGAGCATATCTATTTAATAAGCAGTTGACACATGTATTAATTGGAGCATATAGTAGAAACTTGTTCAACCTCAAATATAAGTACTTTCGAACCTTAATTAGAAGGTATGAAACCCACGGATAGTCCAGATAAATTAAGATCTCGACAACTCTTACGTCATACTCATGGCAAGTGGCCTATGGCGGTTGCACCTAATTAATCATCGGCCCAAATTTGTTGTTTCACTTATTACTTTGCTATTATTAAATAATTTTTCTGTACCATTACATGCTAACTAAATGTACGTTGCATGTAATTTGGCTTCCATTCTGGATCATCGTATTAATATTGTTTCTTTATCTTAAAACATGGTCACAATAATAGGACATACATGGCAAGTTGCTCAATATGTGTAGAAGTACGTTTAAGCACAACTTTGATACAATTATATATATTTATTAAGCGTGAAAAACAATACAAATGCTTATATATATATATATATATATATATATATATATATATATATATATATATATATAGAGAGAGAGAGAGAGAGAGAGAGAGAGAGAGAGAGAGAAATCAATGACTTGCAACACTCCTCTCGCTAACAATGACTGGAAGCCCATTCTTCACAGTGGCCGTTAACGCCGGTTCAAACTGAAGCTCACCATCGAAGTTTACAAGTCTAAAGCTAAACCGGGGTAACAAACATAGTACCACCGTTTTCATTTCCATCAATGCCATTTCCTTCCCCAAACAAGTCCTTAACCCGGCTTGAAAAACTGGGTACTTAAATGGACTTTCTTGATTGAAGATCCCACCCTTCAACCACCTTTCCGGTTTAAACTCCTTGCAATCCTTACCCCATATGGTTTCCATCCGAGCCATTGCATATGGATGGAATGTGACCCTCGTTCCCTTTTTAACCAGGGTTCCATCGGGTAATTTATCGTCTTCAACTGCGAATTTGGAGTCAAACTGAATCGGCGGGTAGAGTCGCATGCTTTCGTATATTGCAGCTTGAAGATAGTCCAGCTTTTTCACTTGTTCGAACGTTGCAAATTCTTGATTCTCATTCATCAGTTGATCAAGTTCAAGCCTTAGTTTGGACTCGACTTCTGGGTGGTTTAAGATTAGCCAAAAGAAACTTGTTAAGGCTGAGGCAACTGTATCTCTTCCTGCAAGAACGAAGTTTATGATCACATCTCTAAGAAAGGTGTGGTCGTCGGATACCACCATGAATCTTGATAAAAGGTCCTGGTTCTTTGTAAACCCAACTTTCTTCTTTTGATGAATGACTTTCTCTATAAGAAAGTTAACATTTTGAACTGCTTCTTTGAGCTTTCTCTCCGATCCCATATTCAATATCCTATTCGCCTTCCATATCAGTGGAGAAGCAGACAAAGCTCTCCTGGCCGACAATGTTGTGGCTAGATCAAACGAATCAGAGAATTGAGAAATATGAAAAGGTAATTTGGGTGAATTTAGATCTAAACCCAAAGAAAATCTACAAATATATTCAAATGAAAATTGTCTAAAGAGTGATTGTAGATCCACTAAACCTCCATCGCTTTCTCTAGTAGCCGAAGATAGCAACGGGAGAAGTCGACTTTGAACGTGGCAAGAGACATTCGCGAAGGCATTCGACACATTTCCAAGCTCCAAACTTGCCATCTTTCTCTGAAATAACCATGAATCACCATCGACATTAAAAATGCCGTTGCCAAGAAGATCGCTAAGAATCATGGAGAACTGTTTCCCTTTTGGGTAATTATGGAACTTGGTTTTGAGTATGTGCTCAACGTTGGTAGGGTTAGCAGTGATGGTGTTACGTAGCACATGAATACGGATTGTTTGAGATGGGGACTTTTGGAGAAGATGAGTGTACCAATCGCACAGATTGTTATAGTTTGTTGACCATTGAGATTTGAGGTAGCAATGGCAGACATCACATGTGCAGTAAAGTTGCCTTTTTAAAAAGACTAGGAACAAGAGAGTTGAGAGAGATAGTGCAAGAAATGTCAAAAATGACACCATTTGTGTAATGTGCGAGGGAGATGATCATAAGTTTTCACTCTATATATTCTTGGAGAGAGAGAGAGAGAGAGAGAGGAACTGTTCACTATCCGGATAAAATCGAACTGTCCAATTCGACAATTTGGTTCGGATAATCGGATCTTTGGATTGGTTTTCAACAAAACCGAATTACTATTTTTTATTTTGGATTGGTTTTGGTTTATAAAATAAGAACCGAATAATCCAAAAAAACCAAATAAACATTTATTATCTATTTATTTATAATATACATCTATGTTATTTATTAATTTTGTAATTTATTTTTTCAAATAGGTTCAAAACGTTTCACCTGATAAAAAAAACATTAGTATGTATTTTCTCTCAAAAAAATTTCTATCTGAAAAATATTTAATTATAATATATCATTTTATTAGTTGTTTATAAATTTCAAATCACAACTAAATAATTTGTTTTCACATCTTGTGTAAAATTGATGAATATAATAATTGTATGTCATTTTAAAATGTTTTGGTTTTTGAAAACCGAATTATAAAAACCGATCCAACCGAATTGTAACTGGATCGGATCGGATCGGATTTGATTTTGGTTTGGACTATTCGGATCTATCTTTTGAAAACCGAAATCAATTTGGATTCACTTGATTGGATCGGATCAAACTGATCCATCCAAACGAACACGCCAAAGAGAGAGAGAGAGAGCAAAAATGACAGAAACAGTCCCTACAATATATATCGTGGAAATAACAACTTCATTCAATTTTTCAGGTGATCTCCACCAAACATATGATTTATCCTAAAATGCCCTTTTTTTACTTATCAAAACCGTCAATGTTGTTTTCATTGATTACAGTTTTGTGTCTAGGTCTCGTTTACGACAATAGAAGATTTAAAACGTTTTAGCAAAATTAGTCTATAATTTTTTAATGTATAACAAATTATTGAAATATATACAATACATGATATTTGTATAAAAAAAATTAAAAGTGAAATACAAGGGTATTCTAGTAAATTGGTTATAAATAATACTTGACGTAGCAAAAAGCTTTTGGATTTAATTTTTTTTTAACTTAAAGATATATTTATGGTTGTAATCCGGAACGAAGCTGTTTCATTTATTGGAACTTTTTCTTAAAGGCTTGTAAATTTAAGCTTTCATAAGTCGTTGCTGAACAAGCCCCTAAACAAATTCGCTACTACTTATTATTTCCTTAAATTTGTAACTTGGGAAGCAAAGGTTCTATGAAAAACTTTAGAAATATATAGTAAGGTCGTTGATGTCTTTGTTTACAAGAAAGTTAATAAGAATGGGTATAGGTTTAGTTTTATGTAACATCCCAAACTTATGGCTAGATTTTTGTGTTTAATTAATTAGGAAAATAAATCAATAATTAAATGATTAAATAAATAATAAAAAAGAATAAGAAGAAAAAATGTTGAAATTACAGCATTTAGAAATTAGTGACTAATTATGTAAAGTCATCAAAAGTGTAATTGAGGAAGGTGTTGTATAATGTCCTAAATTTCATACAAAAATTTCTTTTAAAACATAAATAAACAACTTCATAAAAGATAAAATACCAAATTGTTTAAAACCACAAAACTTAGTCATGAAAAATAATATAACATAATCATCATAAACATCGAAAGTCTGAAAGCATAGTCAACTGCAATGCGGGTACGATACAATTAAGTTGGAGTCTTCCCACAATCAGATAAACTACCTGGATATATTTAATCAACAACTATAAGCACAAAGCTTAATAAGTTCCCTAAAATACCACATACTGCAATACATATACAATGCATACAAACAAAGGCTCTCGACTATATTTTTGATCCACCTGATTAAACATCAACTAACAACTTTGGTGCATGTCTAGTCATCAACATCGAGTAACGACTCTAGTACATGTCTAGTCATCGACACGAGTATTCTAGGCTCTAGGTTCTAGTTTGATCAATCATCAACTCCTCAAACGTACATATCAACATATCATATCATCAAGCAATCAACATAAAACATACTATGTTACCCTACTTGTATAATCAATATACTATAGTACAACAATATAATATCATGCAAAGGATATATAATGTAACACATACTATAGTAATATAACTCAGCTGAACTGAAAATTGAAGAATCACAACTACACGCACACGCTCATAGGAATCTATCTTACAAACCACCACGATACCAATTAGAGGTCAAACATCAGTCTACAACTTAAACCTTCTAAGTTTAACTAAAAATTATTTTGGTCAAAAAGTCAACAACCAAAGTTAACGGCAGATACGTCGTGACCAAGACTAGGATCTCTGCTTCACACTACTTGACAAAATAGTCAAGAAACCTCAAGAAGCAAGTCCGACAGTTAATATGTGCGCCGTGTTGTATGGATTAACAACCTCTGTCTATTCAGCACTTAATCCGAAAAGTCAAAAGCTACAAATATCATATCTGAAACTCCTCAGTGTCGTGATGGTTAAAGTTTCCAACTTTATCCATCCTCACGGCTCAAACTTCTCTAAACTCTAACCCTAATTCTAAAATGACCATTACTCAAGCATTACACAATGGAAATGCTTGAACCTCAATCTTTCCTAATAAAAAACATTCATAAGACAAAGAATACAACCATAATATTATATAGTTCTTTAAACTCTAAGAATGCCATGTAAATAGGCTAAAAGGGACCAAAATGCACTTAAAGTTTAGATCTAATGAAGAAAGTATCAAGGTAGCAATTTTTTTTACTTGTAATGGTCCAAATATATGATAAAGAAGTTGGATCTAAGCTAGAACAATCTTCCTTACACTGAGGAGAATCTTTATTCTCCTCCAAGCTTCACAAAAATGATAAAGAAGCTCAAGAACACAATACATGGGTGTTATGGTTGCAAAGGAATGTTCCCTGGAGATAGGGGCTGAGAAAATAACAAAACCCTAGGGATTAGTGCCCTTAAATAGGGCTCAAATCCTAAGGCCTGGGATTTGGCCCATTAGCGAGAGCGTGTCGCGCATATTTAAAGTTGTGTCGCCCCTACCACGTAGCAAGCAAACCATGCCCCAAAATCAACGTGCCACACCCAACACAAAATCCTAAATTCTCAAAAACCAAACACTTAAGCAATTAAAGTACATATCATAAATTTGGGTGTTATAACTCTTCCCCAAATCCATAAGCATCATTTGACTTAATAGGTTCACCTAGGTTGAATCTACTTGTCTTACTAGTCACCCATAAAATCTTAAACTTAATTTGAGCATTAAACTATCTTTGTTTCTAATATTATATCCATGATTCCTAAGTTCAACAATAGAACTGTGAGATTCAAGTTCACATATGTCAGTGTGAGTTAAAATAGTCCAATATGTCTTCTCAAACCTCTGAGTTTCATTTAGGTTGCTAAGGCTAAAAAGTATTTTATCAAAAATTTACTTTTTACGATAAGCGGAGTCGTGTTGGTTTAATCGCGAAAGTTCGACGGGTCATAACTTCTTCGTTATAAGTCGGATTTTAGCGTTCTTTATATGTACGGAATCCTTATGACATATACTATACTTTGGTTGAGATTATTATCCTTATATCAAAAAGTTATTTTTAACACTTACTATCTTTAAATTGACTAGTCTGAATTTGAGAGCATTACAAACTCAGTGTTATGATTCCAATCATTATTAAAATGGTTGTGTGGAAACACCCAAAACCTTACCCTAGTTCATGTTACGAAAACCAGTCATGTCGTGAAAGTGTATTTCACTATGAAGGTGTTCTTAGGGGGTTTTTGTTTTATCTTTTAAACCAACTTTTAGCCTTTATCTTTTCCTAAAAGTTAAAAATGAACCAAAAGATGTTTAGCAAAGGGAAAAGATCTTTTAAAAGCAACTTTTCAGAAAGAAGGAAAATGAGCATTTTGAAAAGTCACGGGAACGTGACTTTTTGTAACTTTTGAAGCCCTTAAAACTGAAATTACTTTTATACCCCCAACTACCCTAATCCCAATTACCCTTTTTAATCATTTTACATGTAAAAGTTAAACCAAACACTTTTTAAAAACAACTTTTGACTTTTACTTCTCAAAAGCTATTCCAAACACATTTTTAAAAACATCTTTTGTAAAAAGTCCTTTTACAAAAAAAATCCTTTTACAAAAAGAACTTTCGAAGGTAAAAAGATATCCCAAACACCCCCTAATGTGATGGTGATCATTACTATGATGATCATATTTTGCTTGAAGTTGTGAATGGGTAGTTACAAAAGTACTAGGAGACAGTTTTTTATTTTTGTTACAAAAATGATGAGCTAGAAGGCAGTGATTAGGCCATTCAAAACGTGATGATGAGTGTATGTTTCAAGATGATTATACAGACGTGGGATTGGACTGGCATTTAATGCATATTTTGGCGGTTTTTCTCTCTACTTATTCCGGGCTTTTCGAATTCAAATTTGAACCGTTTACATTCCACTTTTGATATAAATACCCAATTCTCTTCCCATTCACCTATTTATATCATCAAACAATACACATAAAATCCTTTGATTATATGAGTGTTCTTATGCTCTGCCATTTGCAATCATCAATGGAAACTTCAACTAATCATGTTATTGTCATGGACCAATCTGCATCAACCATCACTCTAGTTGTCAAGCAGAATCAGAACTTAATCGTTGATCTTGATTTCTCCAAATACCCTGAAGTTGTTCAACCCTTTATTATGTGTCTTAATCATTCAGTCCTGAGAAAGGCTCTTGTTTACTATGAGCAAGTTCCTTTATCAGCGTTGATTTTGGCTTACTCCACTGCCAGTTATAACAAATCAACATATGTGAAGAGCTTTGAAATTCAAGGAAAGAAGACTGCAATCTCAAAGGCAAGTTTCTGCAAGCTTTTGGGATTACCTGTTGGTGAGGGTTATTCCAATCCTGAACATGTCTCATATGCAAATATTCTCTAGGTATTACATCGGATGGGTTATTCTCTAGTTCTTCTTTAACTATCCAGATTTAAGAAATTGTGCTTGCTAGCTTTTTGGAATGCAATGTTTACGATTTTCATTAAATGTTTTTCGAAAAGGATGTGTGGATATGATAATGCGAGCAAGTAATTTCACACTTTGATGTATGGTATTTATACCGATGATAAAACTAACTTAGGTCAATTATTGTGGGCACAATTTTTTCATAGTCCATCTTCATCGACAAAGGATTCCGAAATATTGTGTGCTAGGTTTTGGTCAATAGTAGTCAATCATGCTAGAGACCACTACAAAGTGCCTTAAATGTCTCGTATGGTTGAGATTCAGAAATTGAATGTTGCGAATTTTGTATTCACTTCAGATACCAATCTTTCTTATATTGGTAACATTCCATAGGCAATGCTTGCGAAGTTACCATTACCAAATGAGGTGATTTATATTTACAAGAAGATTCATAAAATTGACAAGAGGCATGTTCCAGTTGAGCTGTAAAATGTTCTTGATACTGGTGTGAATATGAGGAGGAAAAGAGGGGGTACTAAGGGAAAAGCCAAGGTAATTGAGGATGTTTTCGTTGTGAAGCTAAAAAAGTAGAAAAAGAATAATAAGAATATTTATATTAGGTATGATGATTATGAGGTGGAGATCCAGGTTGAAGATTATGAGGCCACCATAAGCGATTTTCATATGGATACAGATATGGATGATACTGTGAGGTCATCAGAAATTCCCAAGACCACTACTCCAACAATAATAGTTGTGATATCAAATCCATCTACAAATCTCAATAATTCACATCTGTCACACCCTAAAACCGAAATGGCGGAAACGTTCGGGAGTGGAGAACGTCATGTATAGTATCACAACAAAGCATAGTAGTAAACAAGCAACAGCATCATCCATTTCATTAATAATATAATTTAATACAAGTGTGTTCTTTAAAGTTTATAAGACACCAAAAATGTAAATCAAAATAAGAGATGAGTCTTGAATGAGCTCCATCTTCTCAAAACCTGGCATCGGTACCTGTCTACTGATGATCAGAGAATACAAGTTATTTCGAAAGATTTTATCAACTTTAAATCTGGTGAGTTCATAAGTAGTTTAGTGTCATTGTTTGTATGAAAATGTTTGTAAGTGTCTGATGTATAAGTTTGTAGTAAATGATTGATGTAGAAGTTTGTAAATGTTTGTATCTCCTAGAAAATCCTATATTTTCTACTAAACGTAACCTTCTACCAAGGCATCAAATGTTATGTATGTTTGTTTCTTGTATGAGTGTGCAGTTTCCCAAATGAGACTACCATTAACCAAAAATATAGCTTTTACATTACCGTTCATGTGAGAAGATCACAATGTGAAATGCAATGGGGAAATAATAATAGTACCGTAATGTTGTATGATAGTAACTACTATTGTACTAACTACCTTAAACCAATTGTTATTTAAGGTATAATGTGATATAATTGCACCATACTATCGACTAATAACACGACGATGAAAGATGTCGGAAGAAATGACATTTGGCACTCGTAGACTTGCAAGTCCCACTGTAGTGAACAGCAAGGTGTAGGATAGTCAATCCAGTATACATCTATACACAAATTCACGCTCTCCCTCTAGGAGACTCTGGCTACAAATCGAGCCATGATAGGTGATTCCATGCCTCGAAACAGTGGTTCACATTTATGTTATAGGATACTTGTATTTGTATTGTATGTACTAGAGTATTATATGTCCTCTCTGTCTAGTATGTAGTATGTTCTGTTTCTCATATAGTATGTTCTGTCTCATGTATGAACTGACTCTTTGTATGCTTCATTGTACTAGAAGTAATGAGTAGTAACTCCCTAAACTATACTTATTATAGTTTACTAGTAGAATTGTTTGTATAACCGAATGTATTGAACTGAGATAAAAGCCTTTCTGTCTTATACATATATACATAATATATAACTAAGGATCCAACGACACTCGGACAAACAACAGGGTACTCTAAGTCCACAACCAAACAAGGAACAGGAAATAAAGTGTGTTATCAGTCCTAAGTCCTTCAAACCTTACTTATATAACTATCTATGCATTAGACATGGTTTTGACAATATATAAGTTTAAAAGAAGTTTTGTAAAACCTTTTGAAGAGTTTAATAACAAATATTGATAAAGAATGTAACATGTAAAAAGAGTTTGATAAACCTTTTGAAGTGGTTTGTTTGATAAAACAAATGAAAGTATAGTAAATCCATTTGTTTGATAGTTATTAATCACATGTGATTGATCTAAACACTATAATGTTTCAACTTGTATCCCCCCCCCCCCATAAAAGCATTTAAAATCATGTAAAAGGTAGATTAAGGGGGTATGAAGTCACCTATAGTGAGTCGTTTGGATGGAAGTGTTGGATAGGATGCTAAGTGTCAAGTGAAGACTTGGAGAACACACAGATCCTATTTTAACATATAATGACACATATATGTATCTAATTAGTGATTTAATAACTAATTAAGCAAGTAAAGACACCCTAGGACATGGAAAACACTTTAATTCAAGTGCTAGGAGTACAAAGGGTTGCATCTAAGGGTTGTAGGGCCTCACATTAGAGTTTACGGCCCAAGTGTAAACCCACATGAGTTTACGGCTTGTGTCATCCCTAATTTCACGGCCGGAAAAGACCGATTTGTTTATGCTTTGTTTTAAAATCAGAGTAATCCTTTTTAAGGAAAACAGTTGCGGAATTTGTCCCAAAAACAAAATATGATAATCATTTATCAAAACATTTCTCAAAGAGAATGTATTTTCATTAAATAATAAAACCTTGGGATCTCATGTTCCGATATAGACCAAAAGCATAAACAATATAAAATATATCTTACAACTGTTATTTATAACTACTGATCTATAATCAAAATTCTCTCGTCAAGTCCACCAACTTATACCCTTGTGCCATTACCTGTAATGCAAAGAAAACTGAGTGGGTCAGGCTTGGGAGCCTGGTGAGCATATAGGGTTTTCAACCTACAATAATATAATTGTTATATTTAATCATCAAACAATCAACCCAATTACCCATCCCCATTATCTTCGTTTAATCTTCCCTAAAGATATTATCCTAAGGGTCATCTCTTATATCATATTTACCTCTCATCTCCTTACATCTTATTTCCTTATATGTTTGTTCCTAAGAACTTTTACTAAGGATGATCGCCTACATCGCAAGACAATACTAATTCGGGGATCACTCCCTCAATATGTGTCTAGTAAGGGTCAGGGTATCATCGCATGATTACGCAGCCATAACATCACCTGGACTCGTAAATCATAATAAGGGTTAGACTATCATCGCATGAATACGCAGCGACAACATCGCCTGGACTCGTAATTCAAAATAAGGGTTAGATTATCATCGCATGAATACGCAGCCACAACATCGCCTGGACTCGTAAATCATAATAAGGGTTAGACTATCATCGCATGAATACGCAGCCACAACATCGCCTGGACTCGTAATTCATCACCTAATTAGCATCACCTAATTATCATTACCATTATATCCTCACCTATCTCTTATCACATTATTTCATCACACGCCAACTATTTCATCTGCCCATGTTCTACCCAACATATTTGTATATATAAATTACTTATACAGTTTAAAACTATTTAAAAACTCGTATAAAACATTCATTCAACATCCATCTCAAGTAAACAAACAATGTATAAACACATAGCACGTATTTCATAACAAATACTTCATATCTATGTGTTAGAAGAAAGTAACTACACACTCATACATATAAACAACAATATATATACACATAGCATGTATTTTATAAAATACTTCATATATATGCATAAGCTGAAAGTGACTATATACTCACACATATAAACAACAATATATATACACATAGCATGTATTTTATAAAATACTTCATATCTATGTGTAAGCTGAAAGTGACTATACACTCACTTGATTAGAAGATGGTCAGACAACACTACGACTCTAAGAGTAGTAGTCTTCGGTGAAACTGGGATATCTTCACACACCGGGCTTCTTGCAGGCAGAGCTTCAGTTCGGAAACTCTTTTCTTCTCGGGATCTTCGGGCTTTGGGACTTGCTTCGGGTCACGGGATGATATCAGGGCTTTGGGGGTATTTCTTTGCACGTAAATCGATGCAATACAGGTGAGAGATGAAAAAATGAGCAGCCAAACTCAGCTGGCCCTTGAAGAGGTAAAGTAAAGACTTCTTTCGTGAATCAACACAAAGAAGGAGATTGTTAGGTCTCGCAGTTCTTAGGTGTTGAGTTTGAGTCTTTGTGCGAAAGGTTCTGTTTTGTATATCTTAATTCTTCATTTTAATTGCAAAAGTAAATGTTATGTTTTATAGTTATGTATACTAGGCTTCACAATGGTTCCTTCTTTATTTTAGATATTAGTTATCATTTATTATAAAATCAACGGATTTTGACATAAAAGTCCTTAAGTTTGTCAAGTTTTGACGGTTTTGTCTCTGCAATGATTTTTGGTGCGTTAATAACTAATATTTGTGATGATTTGGTCACCACCACCACTACAAGCAACTATCACCCCTTTGCCGATTACCTGCTTGTGCAGCTGTAATCCGACTATCGTCAAGCTATAACAAACCATCGTCATTTTCGGATCTGCACACACTGCTGGAACCATCACCAAACCCCACCAACCATCATTGTCTTCCGACCACTAAAGCTACATACTCCACCTTCCTCCCTCCGCCAGAAAACCAAAAACCTTTTTATCTCTCTCTTTTGATTTCACCATAACCCCTACCACCACCACTTTCAGCTACTACCGTAAACCCTAGCCACCACCTCTAGCTATCGCCACCAACATCATCTACGCTGTAAACCCTAATCGCTCATGTCGCCAGTACCACTTCTAGCCTCCGCCACCTCTAATATGTGTTTTAATTTCAGATGGTGGTGGTGGTGGTGGTGATGTCGTCACTGCCATCTTTGTTATGTCTTTTTATTTCAAATAGTGATAGTGGTGGTGGTGATTTCCAAGTTTGTGTGTGTTTTGATGATTTTCAGAGTATGATGGTGAGTGCGGCAAATAGTGGTGGGGGTTGCAGGGGCGGGCCTAGGGGGTCCATGGTGGCATTGGCAACCATTGACTTTTTTAGCTGCAATGGAAAAAATTTCAAAAAAAAATTTCAACTACTGTGTAACCTCTTATTTTCCCGGGCAACCCCTACTGTGAAATTTTGCGTCCACCCCTGAGTGGTTGCTTCTGGTAGTGGCAGCATGGCAGATTGTGGATGTGGTTATCTACTATATAGGCAATTGTGACCTGTTGTAGAAGGTAAAATGACAAAATCATCAAAACTTAACAAATTTAAAGACTTTTATGTCAAAAACCCTAAAATCAAATAAATAAACTTTAAGATATTCAAATACAAATTGTGAGAATGAATGATAGTGGGTCCATTTTCATGATAAATGATGATAAAAATCAAATAAAAAATTATATATTACTTAACTAACTCGTATCTATAATCTATCTATTATAACATAACTCGTTAAGAATCCGAGAAAAAAAACTGAATATAATAAAACAAATGAAAATATTGCAATACCTTACTAGACTCGGTTCAAAAGTTGTACAAAAAAAGGCCAGACAAAAAAAAGAACTGGTCGAGGACCGATAAGAACAAAGACCAAAAGATCGAACATCTCGAGACCGTTTTATGCACCTCTATGTTTGACCTCTGCTATAGTCCGCACCAACGGCACAACCATTGCAATCAAGGTACGGGCTTCATATTGGACTTGAGCTTAAGCTTGGGCCTTTTGGTATGATGAATTGTAACAGTATAGTATTATCTCTTATAAAATAACTAAAATCATCTCTATCTACTTATAGTATAGTATTTTCGCCCATAATTAACAAAAATTTCCAACAAAATGTTCAGTTGTAGTTAAAAAGATTTAAATAAATAAAAAATGGTTGGAATTCGGATATGGGTTTCGAAACTGCTTCTATGCTAGGATTAAATAGTCAACATTAGATAATGAACTATGATGAATCGTAGTAAATGACACACCATTTACATTAATTACCAAAAAACTTCTAGCCTAGTGGTATCTGGTGTTGTCCTTCCTCCTTGGGGTTGAGGGTTCAAGTCCTGTTGTGGATATAGGTGAATTTAAGATATAGTTTAGGAATTACATTAGTTTTCATTGTGTACTATTATGTTTTTTTAAAAAAAAAAAGAAGAAGAAGAAGAAGAAGAAATTAAGTAGTCTAACTATTTTTTGGTATGTATTTGAAAAAAATAATCCAATTTTTTTATTTTTTTGCAAAAAACCACTTTGTCCGGAATGAGACATTCTCGACCAAGAAAAAACATTTTTTTACCAGCTTTAGAATGACATTCTGGATGCCGAACTAAAATTTTGGATTTCGGGAAAAAAAAAAAAACTTTGGAATTTCAAGAACAAATCCGAAATCCGAAAAACAATTTTGGAATTTCAAGAAAAAAAATCAATTTTTTTCTTAATTTAACAAACAGAGTAATATTAACTATATACAATATGAGTGCATAAAATTAGATATTTTATTGAAAACGTTGATATTAAACATTACGAAATGTAGCATTCGGAATCCCAAAAAATGCAAAATAATTTCTTAAAGAAAAGATGAACAATACTTCGGAATTAAGCATCTTGGAAAAAATGGTTATTTTTCAAAAACTGAAAAAATATGGTTATTTTCTTTGAAAACCTCGTTTATAACCGTAGTAACTTAGTTTACTTAATTTCCCTTCAGAAGTAGATGTTTACCTTTATCTTTAATTAGTTAGCATGTCTATAAAATTAATTACCCTTTGAATGAGAAAAGTATATATGAGAGCATCAACAATATATAGTTAAATGATATCTAGTTGATATTCAATGAATTAAACCCAACCATTATAAGATATCATTTTTACAACTAGCTAGAATTCAATAGATATAAAGTAACAGATATTAAAATCTTCATGGAGAAAACAAACTTTTTATTCTTAAATATGTCGTAGTTTAGGTTTTGTAAAAAATGATTTTTTTTAAATATGTTTTATTGAATTTTATTTAGTACGATTTTAAGGGGAAAAAAAGATAAAGTATATAATAATAAGCGTATCAATCCATTAAACTCTATAGAATTCAATGTAGTTTAGGTTTTGTAAAAAATGATTTTTTTTAAATATGTTTTATTGAATTTTATTTAGTACGATTTTAAGGGGAAAAAAAAAAGATAAAGTATATAATAATAAGCGTATCAATCCATTAAACTCTATAGAATTCAATACACTGATAGGGATTCCCTTACATATATCCTCAAGATTACCACCTCTAAATCGGATATAGAATCTCTAGAATACGCAACAAACACCCATATCAAGTCTTCACAACCAACGATTACATGCTACAGAAGTTGGAGAAGAGAAGAGCGTAAATTTGAAGAAACTGTATGCCACCCTTGCTGCGAAGGGTGTATCATATCCCAGAAAAATGAGTCACTAACGTTTCCACAAACATTATATTTCATTACCCCGGTACCCTTTTCGACATTTCCACAAAAGTATTCTTTAGTGACACCTTGGCAACACGGTCTTAGTAACTTTGAACCCCCTATAAACAATCACAATATCAATACCTTTCTCTTTTACTATTGTAATGTGATCCTTAGCCAAGTAAGTTGATAAAGATTAACTGATGTTTTTCATGCATTTTAATCAAAGGTAAAATGAACGATATCAAGCATTTAAGTTTGTGTACCAGCGGATAAATTTAGAGCAGACAAGAAAGCTTGGTAGACATCTAAAATCACAAATGGTGATGTGTTGTGATTATCACTCTCATTGTTCAACTTCTTCACGCTTTCCATGAGCAGTTGATTATGGAACTTAGCTATAGAATTCGCATTGTTGCTACAGTTCTGATACGATTCAGACGATGTGAACTGAGGCAAGCATCCGAGTGGTTGCAATGTAGTGATTACTATCTTTTCAACTCCCAACTCATGAATGCGTTTCGCATTCAAAACTAGTTGGTTGATTATTGATTGCGTTAACCCTGGCAACTCCTATAATTATACCATATTATGTTACTTAATCTGATTAAAACTTGGAAACTTAACATAATGTGTAGTTGATATATGTATGATTATAAAAGAAAAATGACCTTGAGGGTGTGATTTGATGTGCAGTAGGTAGCATAGTCATTTCCTGCTACAGAAAGTAGTGCAATGGTTGATGAATTTATATGCAAATCTTGATGTGTTTGTTGAACAAGGTGTTGAAAGTAATCGATTTGGGTGGTCATATTTGGTTGATTCACGAATGTATTGAAGATACCTGTTCCTCCATATGCAAAATTCATCCCATATTTCATTGATTTTTTCTCACCAGATTTCCACCCTCTATATGTTATTGGAGACTTCGTACCCAAAATTGCAGCTGCATTTAAAAATATATATATAATTTGATATAAATAATGGTTATGTATTGGAAGTTTCGTGAGAGAGGTTAAGGGTTAAGAAAGGCGCACCAATGTAATCAGTGAGTACACGGCCATCAGAAAACCTGCCGGAGGGAGTACCCGGAAAAGTGATACCATACGGTTTTCCCCATGCACCGCCGTATGATTTTGGCCAGTTTCCAGTGTCGGCGTATGAGTCTCCGAACACAAAGAGCTTTAATTTCTGGCGCTTGTGATTCCTCACTTTCGTCGATTTGCTAACTACAAATCTTGCATCCGAAATGGAGCTCAAGAGGAAAAAGAAAACCATAAATAATGCTTGCTTTTTCATCGGAAATGGTGACTTATATGGAATACAAGTGAATCTTGAGATTACGAAGCTAAAATATATAAATCATGTATGATCATATAGAGGAAAGATTTTGGTTTTGAATTTGGTTGTGGTTGTGGTAGTTGTTGACTATTGACTGTTGAGTGGTATTTATTGTTTTCAAGGTATTTGGTAAACAAAATTGAATGAACTGTTTGTAACTTGTGATATGTATAAAGCATAAATTATTCATCTCTAGCATTTCCCTTGGACAGCTTATATAGGAAACAATTTTTCAAAAAAAGTTTCAATGCATAAACATAATATGATATTATATATTCGTTGCTGGAATTCATGAGTACAATGCTGGGTATCTTATTTCATCAACCATGATGCAATGTAGACCAATTATATATCCACCTCTTATTCCAACAAATTCATTTTAGTATAGAAACACATTTCATGCACAAATTTTGGCACGATATACTTATTTATATTGCCCCCCTAACCAAAGACACCAACTCTTTTAATTTAGCTAGACAATGATAGCACTAAAGCCCACCAATCCGTATTTCCAAGGTCTTTTAATTTAGCTAGATCATGATAGCACTAAAGCCCATCAATTCATATTTCAAAGTCCAGTATGCATATATATGCCTAAATATGCCTATACATCATTTTGATGATAAAATGTAAAGTATATTTTATACCATTTTAACCGGATAATAAAATATTAAACAATATTAATATTTTATTATCCAACCGGTATATTCAAAACCATGGGGATCGTGGTTGAGTTGGACCACGATCACGGTGGTGCACACTATCCCGGCTGGTCGTGGTGGATCGTTCTCCGGACAACAAAACCAAACGCCCAATAGGGCTCGACTTCTTTTTTGACTATTTGACTAGCCGTTGAACGGTCAAATTTTTTTAAAAATTGTTTTTTTTATATAAATTTTTTACATACCATTTTCACTTATAAATACCACATTCTAAACCATATTTTTTACATCATTCTTTTCTTATACACAAAATACCCACAACATTTTCACAACCAAAACCATGGATCCCAACCAAAACACCCTTCTAAACTATAGAAATCGCAAACCCGATAATGTCTTTGCGTTAGACACAACTCATTGTCAATTCCCGACCATGGAATCACCAAGGTGGTTTGTCAATTTGCTTCAAACCGGTTCACCTATATAACAAACAACGCTTTTTTAACAACAATGTCAAACTTTCCCGGCCTTCCAACAACAACAACTCCAATAATATCAAGCTTTCCAACAATTCCTACCATAACCATCACAAATCCCTCATTCGCCGGATTTTATTTCGGAAACTCAACATTCACCACCACCTCAACCTAAACATAAAAAAGGGAAAAAAAACGGTCCGACCCAACACCACCCAAGAAAGGGTCCCATAGATAAAAGAGGAAGAAGAAAAGTTAGCCGAGGCATCAACAATCGGACGGACGAACACATTTCGACATCAACGATGATCTGCTCGATCTTGAAGACGAGCAATCTTTTCATTGACCCGTTGGAAGAAGTAAAGCAAAAAAAAAAAAAAGCGGCTTCAACGGCCTCGTGATCTAGTGTTATGGATCAATTTGGAGAGAAATTTGATCATTATGTGCACATTCAAGAAACGAATGCAAAGATATTGAGTCAGGTAGAACAAAAAATGATAGAAACACAATCGGTGATTCAAATAAAAACCGACACGGAAATCTTGAAAATTAAAGCGAACAGCCTCGAATGCGAAGATTTACAGCTATTTCTCACGATAAATGAGTCCGTTCGAGTCCGACGTAGGAATTGGGGATAGCTTTTTTTTAGTTAAGCTTGGTAATTTAAGGTATTTTTATTTATTTTTTTTAATTAATTTAATTTTTTATGTTATCTTTTTTTTTAATTAATGTAATTTTTATTTTTAATGTTATTTTTATTTTAATTGATGTAATTTGGTATTTTAAATTAATGAAAACTAGTATTTTTTTTTTAAAAAAAAAGTTATATGATTTTTATGTATTTTTCATTTGAATTTAATATAAAAAATGAGGTAGAGTGGTGTGTTTAGTGGTTATAGTCAGTGTTAAAGAATGTAGTGATGACGTGATATCCACCACTATAGTGTTAGTGGTTGATATAACCAATGGTTTTATCATCACTTCAAGACCTCAAACAAGTCTAGATATATAGGATAGGTGCACAAAAAATCATTGCAACATAATTTATAAGACTATTAGAAGAGGTACCGGAACGGATACAAAACTTTAAACAACTGTCTACAAAACTTTAAACAAGTGTCTTTACGAATAAGCAATCATTTACATGGATCTCCAACAACACTCAAAAAAACCTAAAATCTTTAAAATTATGAAGCAACCTTTAAATTATATGAATCGTCACTTATGGTCATTTGAAACTTTTAAAGATTGATTTTTGCAAAGATCAACATAGCTTTTGTTTAGATGAATATTTTTTTTTCAATCTTTTTTTTGAACTTAAAGACTACTATATTACGTGATTTAGATGTAAAATCTACCTATCTTAATAAAATAAAAAGTCATTTTATACATGTGGCACTTTAAAATCCTTTCTTTTGTATGTACATGTTTTTATATGATATATATATATATATATATATATATATATATATATATATATATATATATATATATATATATATATAGAGAGAGAGAGAGAGAGAGGGTTAGGTTATTAGGTTTTTAGTAACTATTGTGTGCTAGAATGCACAGATCTGGACCATCGGATGGAATATAATCAAAGGTCATGATCTGAGGGTCTATGATAGTAGAATATGATAACATATACCATATAATCACACAAATTTCAGCATAAGGGCATTTTAGTCAATTAACCTATATTAAAAAAGGAAATTTTCGGATTTTTAGGGATAATTAATTCCTTTATTTTTAAAAATCTGAATATTTTAAATTAATTCAAAATTAAAAATTCGATTTTATTCTGTCAGAATGTTAGAATGTTAACCATAAACTAGTAAATATATTTTTCGATTTTATTCTGTCAGAATGACAGAATGGCAGCCATAAACTAGTAAATACATTCTAAAAAGAATACACAAAATCAATTCTTGAACTAACAATATACCAAATAATTACATTGTATGATTGTGATTCATTGAATAATAACAACATTCTGAAAGAAAAAAAGAAAAAAAACATCACAATCTAACAAAAATACTAATCTATTCTGATAGAATATTATTTTTTAGCAACATTTTATACATTGTAACATAACACATTCTGGTATAATACACTCTCATTCTCTATGTTCTCTTCCTTCTCCACATCAATGTTAGTCTCTTCAAAACCTAAATCCACAAAGAAAACACAATCAAGATTCAAAAATTAAAAAATTCAATGCATTCTAAGATAATAAAAACTATAAATTCTGACAGAATGTACTTGTTGTTGACAATTATTCTCAAACATTCTAACAGAATACATTTATATAAAATAAATTCTAATAGAATACATTACATAATTCAAGAGGTGTGATTGTATACAGAATTCAATAGATGTGATTGAATCATCAACACACATGCATTCATTCCCAGTCATGAATTTAAGAAACAAACACACATTTACATTATCAATTTAGAAATATGAACACCAATTTTGACTTTTTCGAAACAAAATCCAACTTATGACTGTGAAGTGCAAGTTGTATCAGAATATTTCTTCAATCGAACAAAAATAAACCATTGAAGATATCAAATTTAATAAGATGATGAACACAATCTCGATCTTGAAAAAAAATCGAGATAAAATCAATCTCGATTGAGGTAAATAATTTCCAGTTATATCCCCTAATTGTTGGATTACCGGACCAAAGAAAGAAGAACAGGAGGCTGCCAGAGGATACCTCCATCCAAGTACCTGCAATCGTTGGGATTTCCTCACCGTTTGCTCCTCGCTTCTCATTCGTGTTCATAAACCCCACAACAGCGCCACTGCTCCTCCGCATCCCCTTCTTCAGCCTCATCGACCCCATAATCCATCATCGATTGCGAGACGAGAGTATGTGCTCCCCCTTGGATCCGTCGATTGTAGAAGAAGTAGAATCGGTGATGGTGATGGTGTTAATGTCGATGATGAAGTGTTCGGCCGCAAGCATATCTAGGTCAAATATATTTAGTTTAATTCCTTAATTGAATAATTAGTTTATTTCCTTAATTGAATGATTTCAATTAAATAACTTCCTTAAATAAAAGTACAAAAGGTCCAAAATACCCTTTAATGATTTATTTAATTATTTATTATTTCTTGAATTCTCATTGGTGCATTAAGGCACACAATAGTTGCTAAAAACATTTGAACCTAGCTCTCTCTCTCTCTCTCTCTTTATATATATATATATATATATATATATATATATATATATATATATATATATATATATATATATATATATATATATAGGGTAAAGTGAATATACCTAACAACCATATATAAGCTTAGGTATCTAACTCCATAATACTACATCGGTTTGTATCATATTTACATTGTAATTGCCTAAGGTTCTTAAACTTCAACCCCATAACTTGATTACTTCCAAAATCTTTGGACTTTCACCAATATCTTTCTTTTACATCATGTCTTTCTATCGAATACCAGCTGATAGGCTTCATATCCTACCGATAGAAATGTAAGGATGTAGGAGAAATATAATGATGAATTTAAAAAAAAAAAATTTGAAGTAAATCAAGTTTAGGAGGGTGTTTGGGAGTGCTTTTTTAACTAGAAAAGTGTTTTTAGATAAAAGTGTTTATTTGCTTATAGTGGTGGTAAAAAGAGTTTTTTAAAAAGTGTTTGGATTAGCTTTTACCGTAAAAAAAGCCAATAAGTCAATAAGTTAAAAAGTGTTTGGCTTAAAAAGTGCTTTTTGAAGTTATTTTGGCTGAAAAGCTATAAGTAGTTTCAAAAAGCCACTTTTTTTGGCGCAGCTTGTTGCCCGTTTGCCTTCAATCGATATGTATTGATATTAAATTTTAGTAGGAAATAGAATTGAATAAAAGCCACGTTTTCCATGCTTATTAAAAAGTGTTTATTGAAGCTTATGGAAAAGCCATTCTGAAAAGTGCTTTTGAGTTTGCCAAACACTTTTTTTGGCTTATTAGCTTTTCAAAAGCCAATAAGCAAATAAGCACTTTTCAACCGCAATCCCAAAC